AACGAACTGACTCAGAATGTGGACAGGGTAGGAGATGTCAGGACGCGTAACAGCAAGATAGACAAGACTGCCAACAAGGTGACGATAGCGTGTGGGATTAGGAAGAGGGTCACCATCAGAGGCACGAAGCTGAACGTTGAGCTCCATGGGAGTCACAACTGTGCCTCATCACCGAGAGCAGCGCGGGCAAGAAGATCCTGAATATATTTTTCTTGGGAGATGTAGAAGCCATCAGAGGTGGAGGAGATCTCAATCCCAAGAAAATAGCAAAGTGGACCAAGATCAGTCATAAGAAACTGGTCGCGAAGGCGAGCCTTAACAAAGGCAATGTAATCAGAGTCATCACCAGTGATGATCATGTCATCAACATAGAGAAGGAGAAGAGTCCGACCACGAGAAGACGTGTGAACAAACAACGCGGGATCATGATCACCGGGGCAAGAAACCAGCGGCAGTCACCACAGAGGCGAAGCGCTCAAACCAGGCGCGAGGGGCCTGTTTGAGACTATAGAGGGAGCGGCGAAGTCTACAGACCATACCATCAGGAGCATAGTACCCCGGTGGTGGCTGCATATATAAACCTCCTCATGCAACTCGCCATTGAGAAAAGCGTTCTGAACATCAAGTTGAGAGATAGACCACTGACGAACAGAAGCCACAGCAAGAAGAGTGCGGACCGTGGTCATGTGGGCCACAGGAGCAAATGTCTCATCATAATCACGCCCCTGCTCCTGCTGAAAACCACGGGCCACAAGACGAGCTTTGTAGCGCTCAAGAGAACCATCGGAGCGAGTCTTAATCTTGTATCCCCACTTGCAGGGTGATGGGATAGACACCGGAAGGAAGGGGAACCAGATCCCATGTGCCAGAGCGCTCAAGAGCAGCAAGCTCTTCGGCCATCGCAAGCTGCCATTCAGGCTGAGTCATGGCAGTTTGATAGGAAGTGGGCTCAGCAGTAACAGAGAGACCGTACCAATCAGGGGAGTAGCGATCAAGCGGGGGGCGAGGCCGAGCACGGAGGTTGTGAACCGGGGGAGGCGTGAGAGGAGGCACACTAGAGGTGGAAGGCTCGTCAGAGGAGACATCCTCAGTACGAGATCGACGAGTATAGTGGAGAGGAAACGGTGAGAGAGGGCGACGGACTAGAGATGATGGTGGAGTGGTGGAGGAGGAGGATGGAGAAGACGGGGTCAGTGGTGAATGAGAAGGAATGAGAGGTGCCAGAGGAAGAGGTGACACATGAGGCACATTGTAGGGTGTATCGAGAAGGAGAAGGAAAGAAAGTTCGTCCATAGAAAAACTCGAGGAAGAAGATAGTGGGTAGTAAGAACGAGACTCGTCAAAATTCACATCACGCGAGATGCGCAAGCGACGACCCATAGGACCCCAACATCGACAGCCCTTGTGCTCATCACTGTAGCCAAGGAAAACACACTCAACCGACTGAGCAGTCAGTTTGGTCCGTTCTCGGGGGGCAAGAAGAACATAGCACACGCATCCAAACATACGAAGAGCTGAGTAGTCAGGAGAGCGACCAGTGAGACACTCCATAGGAATACCACCCTGCAGAGCAGTCGATGGCTGAATGTTGATGAGATAGGTGGATGCGAAAACAGCCTCAGTCCAAAAATAGGGTGGAAGGGAAGCAGCAATCATCAACGCACGAGCCGTCTCAAGCAAATGACGATGCTTTCGTTCGGCAACGCCATTCTGAGCATGAGCACCAGGACAAGAGAACTGGGCAAGAGTACCCTGTTCCGCGAGAAAACCACGCAACAGCTGAGAGATATACTCTCCAGCGGAGTCAGCATGAAAAGTACGAATGGGCGTGGCAAACTGGGTTTGAACCATGGCAGCAAACCGTTTGTATATAGGGAGAACCTCGCTATGAGATTTCATGAAGTAGAGCCAAGTGTAGCGAGAGAAATCATCAATAAACAAAACATAGTAGCGATGACCACCTTTCGAATCAAAGGGAGCAAGACCGCAGACATCAGAATGAACTAAGTCAAAAGGACGCTGAGATACAGACTCACTAGTAGGATAAGGTAACCGAGTCTGTTTGACAAGTCTGCAACCATTACAATGTAAGGAGACATCTCCAGATACAGACCCTAAGAGGCCCTGACGAACTAAAGAAGACAAGCGAGAGCCACTGATACGTCCATTTTGCATCATGCTTTTATATCAATATTTATTGCATTATGGGTTGTTATTACACGTTATGTCATAATACTTATGCCTATTCTCTCTTATTTTACAAGGTTTACATAAGGAGGGAGAATGCCGGCAGCTAGAATTCTGGGCTAGAAAAGGAGCAAATATTAGAGACCTATTCTGCACAACTCCAAAAGTCCTGAAACTCCACGAAAGTTATTTTTGGAAATAATAAAAAATACTGAGCGGAAGAAATACGTCAGGGGGGCCACCACCTGCCCACGAGGGTGGGGGCGCGCCCTACCCCCAGGGCGCGCCCCCTGCCTCGTGGGCCCCCTGTTGGCTCTCCGGTGGCCATCTTCTGCTATATGAAGTCTTTCATCGAGGAAAAAATCATAGGCAACCTTTCGGGACGAGACTCCGCCGCCACAAGGCGGAACCTTGGCGGAACCAATCTAGGGCTCCGGCAGAGCTGTTCTACCGGGGACACTCCCCTCCGGGAGGGGGAAATCATTGCCATCATCATCATCAACGCTCCTCTCATCGGGAGAGGGCAATCTTCATCAACATCTTCACCAGCACCATCTCCTCTTAAAACCCTAGTTCATCTCTTGTATCCAATTCTTGTCTCCAAGTCCGGGATTGGTACTAGTAGGTTGCTAGTAGTGTTGATTACTCCTTGTAGTTGATGCTAGTTGGTTTATTTGGTGGAAGATCATATGTTCAGATCCTATATGCATATTAATACCCCTCTGATTATGAACATGAATATGCTTTGTGAGTAGTTACGTTTGTTCCTGAGGACATGGAAGAAGTCTTGCTATTAGTAGTCATGTGAATTTGGTATTCGTTCGATATTTTGATGAGATGTATGTTGTCTAGCCTATAGTGATGTTATGTGAACGTCGACTACATAACACTTCACCATTATTTGGGCCTAGAGGAAGGCATTGGGAAGTAATAAGTAGATGATGGGTTGCTAGAGTGACAGAAGCTTAAACCCTAGTTTATGCGTTGCTTCGTAAGGGGCTGATTTGGATCCATATGTTTTATGCTATGGTTAGGTTTACCTTAATACTTTTGTTGTAGTTGCGGATGCTTGCAATAGAGGTTAATCAAAAGTGGGATGCTTGTTCAAGTAAGAACAGCACCCAAGCACCGGTCTACCCACATATCAAATTATCAAAGTACCGAACGCGAATCATATGAATGTGATGAAAACTAGCTTGACGATAATTCCCATGTGTCCTCGGAAGCGCTTTTCTCTATATAAGAGTTTGTCATGGTGAGCGGAGGAGGAGAGGGGCAGCCATGGCGTTGGTGAGCAGAGGAACGAGTGGGATGGTGTGCCATGTGCGTTGAGGAATTGGGGGAGAAAAGGAGATCGTCCCTGGCTGGATAAGACCGACGCGTCGGTGCAAGAGCCCCACGTTCGGGGACGTGGCTCCACACACGTGGGCACGACGTGGCGAGTGCGCGTTCGACCGGCGCAAGGAGTTGGCCGGTCCGCCGGCAGTAAACGTTTCCCTTTGAAAAATGTTAAATGCGTATATGAAAAATGTTGACCATTATTCAAAAAATGTTAAACTTGAATTTGCAAAATGTTAAATGTGTATCGCAAAAATGTTGACGATGTACTAAAAAATGTTAAATTTTTATTTAAAAAATGTTAAATGTGTGTAGAAAAAACGTTCACCATGTTTTCAGAAAATGATAAACTTTTATTTGTAAAATGTTAAATGTGTATAGATAAAATGTTGACCATGTATTCAGAAAATGTTAAACTTGTTTCTGATTTTTTTTAAATGTGTATAGAAAAAATGGTGACCATGTATTATAACAATGGTAAACTTTATTTTTAAAATGTTAAATGTGTATAGATAAAATGTTGACCATGTATTCAAAAATCTTAAACTCGTATTTTAAAAATAAAGAATTTAAAAACTCGTATTTTGACTTTATCCTGTTTTTTTTCTTCTTTCTTCTTTCTGTTTATTTTTCATTTTTCATTATTTTTTGGTTTTTCTGATTTTCCCTTTTTGTTTCTTTCCATGAAATATAAAGGAAAAAAATAATTTCCAAAAATTGTTCGGCATTTTCTAAAAATGTTCAAACATTGCCAATTTTGTTCGTATTTTTAAAAAATGGTTTGTGTTTTCCATGTTTCGTTCTGAATTTCAAAAAATATCCCTGTTTTCAAATTTTTGTTCGTTTTTCCCTTTGTTTATTTTTTGTTTTTATTCATCCTTTTGGCAGAAATTTCGAAAAATATTTGCGATTTTGATAAATGTGGTCATTTTCAAAATAAAATTCAAAAATTGTTCATATTGTTGGATAAATTTCTGGTATTTTCGACAAGGTTTCAAATTTGTTCATTAATTCCAACAAATTTCAAATTTAAAAAAATATCGGTACTTTCATAGAATGTTCTTTTTTTTGAAAATTTATTCAGAATTTTATAAATTGTTGCTGTTTTTTTTGTAAGAATCATATATTTGAAAATCGTATGTGTTTTCAAAAAAATCTTCATAAAATGAGCAGAACGACAGGGACTTTTATGCATAATAAGCTGCAAACATGAAATACCTCATCGGGTTCTTAACAAAAAAAAGGAAAAAGAAAAAACTCAGGGCTTAGCGCTGAACAGGAGGACTCCTCCGCCGGGATCGTGTTCATGCATGTTTGTTGCAGCGTAAGCGAGTTCCCAGCGATCCACAATTCGAGGCGTGGTTTCTGCTGGATTCAGATCTATTTAATGCGTCACCCTCGGCTAGCTGCTGATAATCTGCGTGATCTTCTCCGTCAATCAAAGCTTTATTAGCAATTCGTGCGTACGTCTTTCCATGGAGGACGGGAGGATCCAGACCACGCCGAATCTGCCGCAGGACATCTTGATGGCCATCTTCGCCGCGTTTGAAATCCCCGACCTCCTGCGTGCTGGCTCCGTATGCTCCTCCTGGCGCTCCGCGTACGAAACCCTGCGCAACCACGGGCTGTACAACCAGTCCCAGACGCCATGCCTGCTCTACACCTCCGAGTCCGACGGCGAGAGCACCGCGCGTCTCTACAGCCTCGTGGAGAAGAAGGCCTACAGGCTGACCCTCCCGGACCCGCCCATCCGCACCAGGTCTCTCATCGGGTCCTCCCCTCAAGGTTTGCTGGTTACAGCCGATGACAGGTCCGAGATGCATCTTCTCAACCCCATCACCGGTCAACAGATCGCCCTCCCGTCGGTGATCACCATCCGGCAGGTGAGCCCCATCTACGACGACTCCGGCATCCTCCGCATGTACAGATACTCGGCCCACACTAGGCATACCGTTCTCGCGCTGCCAGCAAACCTTGCTCTTAGCGAGCTGCGCCACCAGCTCCATCACAAGGCTTTTGTGTTTTCTCTTTCCGATGATGATGCATCCTATTCCTCGGCAGCAGCAGCAGGAAGAGGAGGAGGAGGACACATTGTGGTGCTGATCCACAACCCGTCTTGCCAGCTCTCCTTTGCAAGGGTAGGGGCCGAGAGCTGGACCTGGCTGCCACCACACACCTCCTATGACGACTGCATGTACAAGGATGGCCTCATGCATGCAGTGACTTCAAAGGGAGAAATCCATGGATTCGATCTTGCCAGCCCTGCCCCTGTGGCCACCATGAAGATCATTATGGAGGGACCAATGACTTATAGATATCTCCGTATGTACATCATACAAGCCCCATGGGGTGACCTTCTGCAGGTTTGGAGAAAATTTGGGGATCGTGATTTAGGAGATACGCCCCGGTCATCTGTGTTTTGGACTACCGGCAAAATTAGAGTATACAAAGTTGATGCCGTGGCGAACGAACTCGAGAGAACCAGTTGCTTGCGCGGCCATGCGTTGTTCCTTGGGCATAATCAGTCGCTTTGTCTTAGTACCGAAGAATACCCGGCTCTTAAGGCGAACCATGCCTACTTCACCGACGATTGCAAATATTGGACAATGGGACTTCAGAATAATCGCCGTGATATGGGAATTCTCAACTTGGATGATAACAGCAGCGAGGAACTTGTGTCTCCTCACCTTTGGTCCAACCGTCCGGCCCCCATATGGATTACACCAAATCTCAGAGAGATAAACTTTAATTTGGATAATTAGTTTGGAGTTCTTCCTTTTGTACGTAAAAATCATCTAGTTCGTTAGTAATGGTGATGGTTCCTCATCTGGGTTTTACTATATGTACACTCCCGAAATTTCAAAGAGAATGCTGCAAGTTTATTCTACTTCTTGTGTAATTATCTGTTTTTCTTCTTGTAGTTCTTTGTTTTTCTTTTTGGTAATTCCTTTTGTTTCAAACACAAGCCGATTCAATTGTGAGACAAGTATTGGTCTTGGATCTTAGGTTTATATTTCAATATTAGTACTCTTGTATGGAGGTAATCAACGTGTTTGATCCTTTTATGCCCGTCTTTCTTCTTAGCCAAGTAGTATAATGCAAACATGTTGTGCGAAAAATCTGATGATTAAACTTAAGTAGTGATTTGTGCGGTTTGCAGTAGTAGACCATTCATCTAACAATTTCTTAATGGTCCTTTTACAGTAGTGGTCCTTGTACCCTAATTTAACTTACTAAATCTTCTTACACACAATGACATGTGGCGTCCTGACCACCTATAGTACCAGAGCAATCGGAGGTCATTGACACTGCCGTCATTGTTGCCATCACCGAGGTTGTCGTCGTGGCTGTCGACGAGGGAATTATTGCATACGTTGTCTTGTCATGCTTCGTCGGCATGCCTATTGCCAACATCATCGTTGGGGCCTTGTTCATCGCGGGTTCAAGTCTTCCCTATGCCCGTCGTCATGGAGGAGGATCTACACTGCTCAAATTTAAGGAGGTCGGGAGAAGTTTGAGGAGTAACTCCTCAAATTTTTAGAACTAAACTTTTGAGGAAATGGCTAGGTGGGAACTATCTGAAAGTTTAGTTTTCAGGGAGTTAAAGATCTAGAGAAAGGACCAGAGATGCTCTGAATTATGAAACCGGGTGTTCCAACCCCTTAAATTTGAAAAAAAAACAAATAAATCCTAGGCCACTTAAACTTCCTACCGTCTTAATAGTGTAGATGCACTATTTAACTGTTGGGAGTGCAAACATAAATTAGGAAAGAAAATCTCTGGCTTCCTAACCAAGATCAACCGCATTATCGACGAAGCAGCAACATGTTCATCACCGGTTGGAAGAGTAAATAACATAAAACTACCACAATTCAGGTTAGGGTTCCCAGAACTACCAATTTTCAAATTTGGACAAAAAAACTACCACTTTACAACTACTCCCTCTGTTCGGAATTATTTGTCTCGAAAATGGATGTATCTAGAACTAAAATACATCTAGATACATCCATTTCTGCGACAAGTAATTCCGAACGGAGGGAGTAATATGTTAAAAAACCCTACCACTTTCTATTAGTTGGCGGTTGGGACAAAATTAATCACGATTTTGATAGGCATGGTGCACCCATCTGGGTTGACGTGGCAGAAAAGTCAACTCGGTTAGTGCATATATTTTTTCAAAAAGTCAAACCTCATCAAATTTGACAAATTTATCAAGAAAAACATTTACATCTAGAATGCTAAACACATATCATTAAATTCATCATAAGATATAGTTTCATATTTTATATATTTGGTATTATAGATATAAATAGTTTTCTCTATAAGCTTGATCGAACTTTTCAAAAGTTTGACTTCTTAAAAAAAATCTATGCACACTATATTATGGAACGGAGGGAGTACTTTCTAGCTTTGGAGTTCATGCAAATTCAGAGTCGACCATAAAATATCTTGAAGATACCAAGAAGGCATACCTGATCCACCAAGGTTTAGGTATCTAAAGCTTACATGGTGCAGATGCAAGTGCGAGTGAAATCTTTTTGAGGTCCATTATGTGCTTCTATTATGTTTCTATTATTCTTTTCACGATAAATATATGGAACTTTTTGGTATGTGAACATTTTCTTAGAATTCATGGTATTTCCACAGATAGGACCATTTCGTTCTAAAAATATAAACATAGCTATTGGCATTTATTTTTAGGTGTGTGAACATATCTTACAAGTTGTCTTAGCAAAATTTAAAATAAGATTAAGCATTTTACTTTATATGTTAACATGGTTTTAGTATGATATTTAATAAAATCATTACTCGAATAATTTGTACTATTTATTTTTTGATAAAAGGGGTCACCCCCCGATTTTCTTTAAGAAAACCAAGCAGCCTGATAGAAACTGTTGCAACAGGTGTTTCTGCAAGACATATCCGGATAAGAATATTTCTGCAAGACATGTTCGGATAGGAGACATAATTTTCGGGGGGGATTTATCCTAATTTTTTCCTTTCAAACACCTGTTGCAACAGTTTCTGCAAGATCATGTTTTGCATTTTCATCTCTGCATGTTGTTTCTGCATTTCTAATTGAAGGTTTTTCCTTTCCATATCACTGTCCACCAGCTCTTTCTCATCCATAGCAATTCTGGCATCTTGCCTAGCATTGTTTTTGATAAAAAGCAGAAAAAACAAACTATGCTAACGGGCCAGGCTTATGGATGGCCCATTTAGCTTTATCTGGACCCGAAGCTGCAACACCGGTTGGTCTCCCTAGTTAGCGTAATAACGGATCGCCTGCACCGCCTGTAGGACGCAACCATGCATACCTCCGACCGCCATATATCTTCAACCTTTTTTTTTTTGCTCGTGACTCTTGGGGTGTAGACTTTTAGCGCGCGCAACCGGAATAGCTGCTCCAGCGGGCACGCGAAAACCGCGCGCGCGGCATACGTAGTCCAGCGCGTGGGCCGAAACGCAATCGCGCGCCGCTTATTTGCTGCGCCCGCTCCCGCGCGCTGGACTCCCGCGCGCTCGCTCG